ATATCATGGACAAAATGAAAAATTCCATTTTCAAGTTCCATGGTTTACCATGGAACTTTACTCAAGCCTAAAAGGTGGGAACTTCAACATTAAAGGTCAGTTCTCATTTTATCTTCCACTTTTTATCAAACACATAACATGAATAGTAATAGGTAAAGTTCCTTCTTCCTCTTCTAACTTCCTGTTATCAAACACGCTCTTCGAATAAAGGTACGAGTTTGGGTGCATGTGAAGAGCATGTAAAGTGCATGATTTTTTACTCCTTTTTAAATTACCTTTTACTAATTCGATTTACTTTCTCTCAACTTTTTTTTACTCTCTCTAAAAATACAAAAATATACCACTTCCTTTCTCTATAACCAAGCAACTCATACTTCCTTTCTCTATAACCAAGCAACTCATACTTCCTTTCTCTATAACCAAGCAACTCATACTTAGTAAACTTGCCTAAATTGTACAAAAGTAGGTGAGTCTCATCGGTGACTATCTGTTTCCAAGCATCTCAAAGACTGATTTGCTAAGGTTACTTTTTGCACATTGTTTGTTCTACAGTAATGTAGGTCCTTTTTAATAGCATCAAACATATTGTATAGCAGTTTTGAAAAAAGTTTATATAAAGTTGTAACCTTAAAATGTAGAATTAAAGATGCATCTCAAAAATCCATCAGAAGGGTTGTTTTAATCTTGAAAAACCCTCTAATTGATTATCTCGATATCGAGATGTATGAATATGAAAAGAAAAAAAAAAGATTTTGAGTCCCAAAAATAGTACATCTTGGACCACATTATCTAGACCGTCCATTTTCAAGATTTTCATATGTTTAAAGACCTACTTGATTTTAACCATTTTTGGAGTTTAAAATTTTATAATTAAATATAAATATAGATTTGTAGATAATCCTAAGAATTCTTTACACCAAAATTACATGTTATAATAAAATTTAAGGGTGCGCCTTAATTGGATTGTTTAAGGTTGCAACATTATAGAAACCTCACCCAAAAGAAAAAGAGGGCGGGGGGCCTATTTTAGGACATTGTAAAAGAGTAAAATATGTGACGTTATGGTATGATTTTAATTTTTAAAACTTAGTTCGTATTTGGAAAAATGAGCGTGCGTGTTACTGTGGGAGCATATACTGTCGACTTATTACCTCGGACCAAAAGAGGTAATTAGAAGGATTTTTTCAATTTACAACTTTTTGATATACTTACGAATCATAGCATAATCATCTATTTTGAAAACATAAGTATCATAGCATAATCATCTATTTTGGAAACACTGATTTTGAGTATTAAATACTTAGATTTCAAAAACAAAAAATTTAACAATCCTTGTTTCATATGGTGAAGTTAAATTTTCTAGATACTCATTGGCTCCCTTTTTTTCCTTTTGGAATTACGTTTGTCAAATTTGGGTTCCCAAAATGCTCTGGTTGTGTTTTATTGGAAGAAGCAAATAGGCAATAAACTTCTAAAGCAGGTACTATTTTCTCTTTGAAAATACCCAAGAGAAGCAAATTTTAAGGGTTAAAAACCATCAAATTTAAGGTTTTCTCCAATGTCATTGGGGGCATAGTTTCTACAAGTCTCATACGTATATATAGAAATGCGTCCCCTCTAAATGATCATGGATTTTGGACTCAATCTTTTAAGAATATGTAATCTCTAATATGAAGATCATTAATTAATATGTTAAAAAATAAATTCTCAAAACCAAAAAATAATAATTTCTTGAAAAATAATTATACCATTAATTATCATTTTGGAAAAAGTGTATATAAGGATGCAACCTTATAATGTAGAACTACGGATGCATCTCAAAAATCCATCCGAAAAGGTAGCTTTAATGTTGAAAAACCGTTTGATTGATCATCTCGATATCGAGATGTATGACCATGAAAAATAAAAAGATTTTAAGTCTAAAAAATAATGCATTTTACAACATATTAATTACACCATCCATTTTCAAGACTTTCATATGTTTATAGATCTACTTGATTTTAATCTTTTTTGAAATTTTAAATTTTATAATTAGATATAAAAATAGATTTTGAGATAATCCTAAGAACATTTTACATCAAAATTATATACCATGATAAAATTTGAAGGTGCCCCTTACCTCTACAGCTACGGATGCATCCGTATGCCACCTGCGCCCATCAATTTTTATCTGAGGGACCACCAATTTATGTCATCTTTTTTTTTTGAGAAAAAGTTCAAAGATATTATTAATCTAGAACGAGATTACAGAATCCAAAATAACGGCTTCAGAGAGGGTAGAACCTCATTTGGCCAGGGAATCAGCTAGCATATTAGCCTCCCTATACACAGGCACAAAAGAGACAGAAAAGGAGAATGTGAGATCCAAAATCTGAAATAACAAAGATTTCAGCTCCCAAAGAAGTTTCTGATCCCTTTTACACCATTTCACAACATTGAGGGAATCCCCTTCAATAATGTAAGAAGTCCCCAAATTCCTCTCCACAAGGGAACGAAGGCCAAAGAGAAGGGCAAAGATCTCAGAATAATTCGCAGTCTGCACCCCAAGTTACCCTGCATAAGAGAAGATCACATTACCCATCCAATCCCGAAGAACCCCTCTAAAACCAGCAAGACCCGGGTTACCCAATGAGCTACCATCAAAGTTGAGCTTATAAACCCCTAAAGGTGGGACCACCCATCTTCCTTTGGACCTACATTTTTGGACACCCAAATGGAAAATGTTAAAAAGATTACATTTCACATCCACTTCAGAAATATTCTGTCCACAACTCGTAGCAGAGAGGTACAACCAGATAGATTGTAAGATTTTCTCCAAAACTTTTCCAACTGGCAAAGAAATACCTTCAAACGTTCTTCTATTTTTCTCTCTCTAGATCGCCCACAGAATGACACCTCTAGAGATTTTCCATACAACATTCACAGTCCTTAGTAAAGTAACTGAAAGATTATGAAGAACCCCAATCACCAATAGTGGCATTACCAATGCAGCCCCAAGCTTGTAAAAAAACCACCTCCAAATGTGACTGGCAAACGGACAATATAAAAAGAGATGATCACCAGTCTCTCTATCTTCCTTGCACATGAGACATATATTTGGTAAGATTTTCCCTCTCTTAATCAGATTATCAACCGTGAGAACTCTGTTTTGAACCGCCAATTAAAGAAAACCTTGTACTTAGAGAGGTAGGGGCCATTTCCACAAGATAGCTATTTCAGGCATAGACCATCGTACCCTGTCATGGTAGAGTAAAAGATACGTAGATTTAACTGAATAAATCTCATTTTTGTCAATCTTCCAAACTACCTCATTAGAAGCATTATGTGGATATAAACATCTTTCAGTAGTCTATGAAGATCAGCAAATTGAGAGAAAACCAAATCAGAAACCCTATTATAAGGCAGAGTAGTATTCCACTCAACATTACTACAAAAAGCTCGACAATAGTGGCTTCCTGATTAGTCATCAGATGATAAATCAAAGGAAAACTTAATTTCAATGGGCAGTCCCCCAACTATTTATGATGCCAAAAGGAGATATTGCAGTCATTACCTACATACCATCAAATATCACGGTGTATAAAGCCTTTATATAGAGGTTAGCATAAAAGGCTTCTCCAAATAATCTTTGAAATCTTATTAGTATTCCTTTGTAGGGGTGGCAACGGGTTGGGTTTGGATGGACTAGATCGAGGCCCAGACCCGAATATTGTCTAGAATTTGGACTCATATTTGGACCTATCGGATTTTGGGTCTGGTCGGATCTATGAGTTTTTTTTTTTTTTTCCAATTACACATAAATGTTGTCAATATTGTGACAACATGAAACTTAGCGTGTGCTTAAAGACACATGATTGCCATCATATACCTTATAACTACAAGTACGGGTCGGGTTAGGCTGAACTTAGACCCGGACCCGAATAATATTCAATGAACTCATACCCAAAACCAAGGTCAGATCATTGGTCTGGTCGACTCCACCACCTCTATTCCTTTCCAAGGGGCAATGTCCATGGCGTTAAGAACACCACTCGAGGGTTGCATAGTAATTTATTGATCGGGTGCGGTTTGTATAGAGTAGAGGCTTTAAATAATCAAAGTAACGCCACCTTCAAATAGTGTTCAGAAATATAGTTTCTAATATATTGAAATCTTTGACTAGCCTTATAATATATTTTCATCTTTAATTATAAAATTTAAAGCTTAAAAAATGTTGTAGATCAAGCAGATCTATGAAAACTTGAATAACTTAAAAATTGACTGTCCAAAAATACGCTATAAGATACACTATTTTCAAAACTTAAAATCCATTTTTTCTCAAGTCCATTCATCTTGATGTCGAGATTGATCAAGTTGAGGATATTTGAGCACCAAAACAACCTCTTCTAGTGAAAATTTTGAGGTAGGCTCTAATTTGATTGTTTAGAGCCTAGGCTCTATATGAACTTTTCCCTTTACTTATTAAGGGGTTTTTACTTCGGATAAGTGTATCTACCCTTCTGCGTTTGAAAGAAGAATGTGTGGCATTCGACATTCCATTCTGAGAGAGAGACACCTCTGGTTTAGAGAGAGAGACACCTGAGCTGCTCCTGGGGTGGGTACTGCAGCTCTGGAGATATGGGTATGAAGTGGCAGCGGCACTCCCCCTCACTCAACATTATCGCTTAGAAGAAGAAAAACCCAATTCAACCCTCAAGCTTAGAGAGAGAGATGAAAGCGTGTCCGTCTTTCCAGTGCCCGAAGCCGTTGTTTCGTTCCTGCGTCACCATTTGGACCAGAACCACCTCACTTTCAAGGTAACCCTTCTATCCTATTTATTTACCCCTTATTCGGCATTCGCGCATTTCATCAATTGAAAATTAATGCATTTTGTGATTGTGAACTGTTGTTTTTTCTGATAAAAAACTTGTCGATCTTTTGGACGTTTTTGTATTATTATTTGTTAGGGCAATGATTTCTTAGAACCACCTTTTCTTCTTTATTTTCCATTGCTTGAAATCAGCATTGCCCCTGTTCTCTGCTGCAAATTTGTTGATTATGGATATACCAGTAATATGCAGATATTTAATATAAATCACTGAAACATGTTTATCATTGAAAAATATTTTCAATAAAACTTGGTCTTAGAGATCATTGAATTAATCCTCGCTATTGAATAACTTTATGAAATAATTATGATTTTTTAAAAACCGTGCAATAAATAAATAATTCTGGTATACTATTTGTAATAAAATACGATTATAGGGAGACAAAACAATTTTAAATGCTATTTTAAATAGAGGAATAAAAATTGATTTAGTGCAAATGAAAAATAGTGAGAGAAAGCTAGAGGAGATGTGATCAAAATTCATAATTAGAAAATAAAAATTACTCAAGTATCTCCCATAAAAAGAAATAAATTTATATGTACTTCATCACAATTTTTTTTTTTTGCTAGAAATATAATATTGTAGGTACAAAAGCAATTAAATATTCAAATAGTTGTAAAAAATTTAAAATACATATAAAGGAAAAATTTGAAATGAAAACAAATCGATACATCATTTAACATAAGAATCAAAAAGAAAAAAATAACTAATTTTCTACTTCCCTAATAGAGAGACCAAAAGAAACATAATCCATTTGAAAAATAGCAAGAGAAAGCTAAAAGAAAGAGTAATATAAATAAATAAGTTATATACAATTAAAATAAATAAAATAAAATGATTCAATAAAATAAAGAATAATAATAATAATAATGGTAATAACAACAACTATAGTTATAGTTGTTGTTATTGGTATTATTACCATTGTTATTGTTATTATTATTATAATATTAGAGAGATATATAAAGGGTGAGTGAGCTCAAACCACTTATTTGCTGCAATTAAAAAACTACATTATAACTTGAAAAATATACTATATATCTAGATAGAGACATATAACATACCTTCTATCTTTCATTTAGAAAAATATTTTTAACAAAAAAACTGAGAGAGAGTGCTAGGATAGTTCAGAGAGAGAGCTTGCTCATAAGTTTGGGTGTGACAGGCTTTTGGGTTGGAACATGAGGGTTTTAGCCTTTTAAGTGAGATAGGATAGTAGAGGTTGTTCCTAAAGAGAGCTTTATTTAAGTGAGATATGATAGGAGAGGTTGTTCCTAAAGAGAGCTTTAGGAAGGGAGAGATTGAGAGATAGATTTTTAAAGAGAGAAGAAGTTTGTCTTAAAGAGAGATAGGGAGAGAGATATTGATGGAGAGATTTAAAGCGGGAGATATAAGTGACAAAGGACATAGGTTATAGGAGATATCTAAAGAAGGAGTTATAACTTAGAGAGACATTAATTATCTGTTACATAGTGGAAGAGAGAGAGTAAATGTGAGAGGGAGATGGGGAAATGAGTAAATTAAAATAAATTAAAAGAGATAGTTAATATGGGGAGAGGTGAAAGGAGAGAGAGATTAATATGGGAGGAGAGAAGAGAGAGATTATTATGGGGGAGGAGAGAAGAGAGAGATTGTTATGGGGAGGAGAGAAGAGAGAGAAACTTGGGGTGCTTGGAGTTATTAGGAAATAGAGAAAGAAAGGGATGATTAAAGGAAGGGAAAGAATGGGATGAGAGAGAAGAGGGATGAGCATGAGATGATATGTATAGGCATGAGAAAGATGTATGGAGAGAGAGTGCATGAGATGATATGTATGGGCATGAGACAGATGTGGGGAAGAGAGAGTTGTTAATATCTTGGGACATCATGGTGAAAGAATAAGCGGGTTAGCCCTCACGCTTAATATATAATAATAATACTAATAGTAGTAGTAATAATAATAGATACTGTTACATTCTTTGGCATCTTTTTTTCTATACTACATGTTTCTTGATTATGCATATATAATGCTAGTATTCTTTGGCATCTTTTAGAAATCATAGGTCCATATTATGTGGGGTTTTGCAGTATAGATGGTCCTGCACATTCATGGATAATGGGTTCTATACTTGTGGGTGAGCTTAAATTTGAATTGTTCCATTTACAACATAGAGATCCAAAACTTCCACAGAGAGAGGAAGGGAGGGAGGGAGTTTACTTTCACCAATGTTATATATTCCCCAATTTGATAAAAAAAACGAGAGGAAAAGAAGTGATCTACTCCCCAGTCATGATGTACCATTTGGCTATGAATTTCTATTATTTACTCAAAGCAGAGGATTGTCCTTAATTGATGCCAAATTTATTGAATCTGGAACGCCTACATTTCAGATAGTTCTCCAAGGCAATGCCACATAATCTTGATGCAGTGGCTTGTTCGTCCATTTCTAACTGACAAGTATGTGGAGTCTGGTTTAGAATGCCATGTTTGTATTCGATCACTTGTCAAACAATAAGATGAAATGTTGGTGCAGGAGCAAGGTTTTTAAAATTCATTTTTTACCTCAATAAGTTGCTAGTTCAGTATTCTGAATCCGTGTGAACTATTTTGTACTTGGTGAATATGGTTTAGAGATTACAAGTAGAGAATCATCTCAGTCCAGTCTTGGTGCCTCCCTATAAACTAGTTTGCACGGTGCAAGATTCGCTGACACTGACGTGGTGTTATAGTATCTGTACCACCCGTTTGTATTGGATAAATGGTCATGTTGGTGCATGCGGCCCTGGCATATACAATTTCGTGGAATTTGTAAACTTCTTGTATTCACTGCAAGAGAACAGTTTTAATTTTGGGCACCATTGATATTGAACCCTATTGATTAGAATGATTTTAAGTCCAAAGTTTCAGATGCTGACATATCACAAACTTTGGAAAATGAGATCTAGGCCACCTAGAAAATGGTTAACCTTAGGCCTTGGGTATGAGCTTGTAGTTGGCCTTTTCCATGACATAGAAGGTCTCTAAAATAATTTAAAGGAAATCAGACCAATCTAAGGCTCAATGAACATAAAAATCTATTGGGCTCTTGAGATGGGCAAAGCTAATTTTGGCCATTAAATCATAGTTTACATGACCTGTTTTTTTAGTCTTAATTTCCGAGAAGATATTGATCTCAAAAATGCTAATTGAACTACTAGGTGACTCTGGACCCTCTACTTTCCTCTGAGATTATCTAAATTTTTCTAGCACTCCAACTACCATAAAATTTTAGATCCTGTTTTTCCTCTTCTTATTTTACAAGTTCTTTCTTCGTCTCTCATCGCTATGGACTGCTGACATGTTTAATGTGTCAGAGGTCTTTATATTCGGGTGGCTAGGAACCCATAATGATGCAGTCCTTGGTGTCTCTAAAATGCCACTTGGATTTTCCTACAGCAGCTGTTGAAAATTAGGAGGGTAGAGCTTGACAACAATCAGTTCTCTTGGATCATCACTTTATGATTGAATTATTCTTGAATAACTCCCCATTGCCCTGGAGAATTACAGAAAATTCTCCTTGATGGGACCCTCTGAACGCTCCTTAGACATAGCATAATTGGTTGTGTCACTATGATTCCTTTTGATCTCACTAATTGTATTGTGGTTAGTTTCAGGTCTTGTTTTCATGCTCCAGAAATTTTTCTGCCCCTTCATCTGGAAGGTTTGAAGCCCCTTTCATAATTATTTCATTTACCCATTCATCATTTTTCAAAGGCAAGCTTATCCATATTTAGATATATTGATATATCTAGAACATCCTTTAGGTCTGGCTTGGTGGCTTGGTATTAGGCACTCAGTTTGCATGAGGAATGTCAAGGGTTTGACTCTCGAAGCCTACCCCTAAAGAACCCAGCTGGCCCACCAGTATTTATCTATGTTAAAAGGAGAATTTATCAAGTTTCCATAAGAGATGAATAATTGAACACTTCACCCATATCTTTTGATTTACTTTCAAACCATAAAACTCGTGAGTCAGAATAGTTACAAATGGGCAAAATGTTAAGTACTTCATCTCTTATGGGTATTTTGATAAATTTTTCATATTAAAATGCACACTGAATGAAATTGATGATTCATTAATCAAGATTAAGAGTTTGTTCTTGAAGCCATAACTTGTCACCAAGGTTTAACATATCAAGGAAAACAAAATCTCTCTGGTTGAAAATCCTGGCTTGCAAGGTGTAACTTTTCATTTTGTTGGTTTGCTGAACTAGTACTTCACCACATAGGTGCCACCAGAAAGTAGTTACAAGAGCACTTCTTACAGCAATGCACTTTTATTCTTGAGGGCTCTTGCGTGATATATCGAATGAGAGCCAAAGGTTTTCAGGGAAACAGTCTGCGGCATTTGAGATGCAACACGCTTAGATATTAGGGATTTGTATTTTAAGATGGATTTAGCAGGCCATCTAGTTGATTTTTAATCTCATCCCTTTTTCTGAAAATTATTTGCTTCTGATCCATAAAATATAAATTCTTTAGTTCCCTTCTAATATTGGAATCTTGGGAGGATTTAGAAATAGAAAATAAAACAATAGCATGCAGCATTTATTATATTTCTTGAGCATATGGGGGAGGATGCTTTCTGTGGCTGAATGGTAACTGTCTACTCGTTTCATAAGTCACTTTTGAAGGTGTCTAGCCTTAATTTGAATAGAAACATTTATATGAACTAGGAATCATGTGGGGTTGTAAACCTTTTATTGATGAGAAGAACTACTCCTTCAAGTTCAAACTAAAAATTTAGTATGTTGACTTGAAGGGTTGTTTATATATCCTACTCTTCTGGTTTGTGCTATGCTTTTTGACATTTCTGATGGACACTAAGGAATCTAAATTTGCTCTATTTTTGTTTGTCAGGACCCAATTGAGTTATCTTGGACAACTCCATTCTTTCCGTGCAAAATCAGGTAACGATATTTGTGTGTTGTCTTGTGTGATTGTTTTTTTTGTGGGATGACCTTTCTTCTATCGTTGTTTACTTGAAGCCATTGATTTCTCTTGCATGCATTTGTTTGAATCAATTTGGCTGTTTCCCTTTGATGTTAAATTTGTCTGGCAAGTACAGCTGAACCGGAGTTTGATGGGTCTTCAAGCTTTACGGCAGTCCCGTTGAGTCTGCTCACAGCCGAAAAGGAGGAGGCTAAAGCTGTGTTATCCTTGTTCCTGAGGAAACTTGGCTTGAGTAGTGCAGTTGCTGCAAGGACCATAAAGAAATCCGAGTACTTTATCGAACACCTGATCTCAAGGCTTCACTCTGTTCATAAGTCTCGATATCTAGTAGGTTCGGAGTTTAACTTTTTGACTGCACCTGCACACCAAATACCTTCCTTTTTCAATGACCCTAGTTACCTTAATACTGCATGGTATCACAGGAAGAGAACTAACAACACTCGAGATCAGAGATGCCCTGGTTCCATACCTTGAATCCCTCTTGGATGAACATGGTGATGTCCTGGTGGATGTCGTGGAGAACTTCCCAAACCCACCTGGAAGAGAGAGACCCACAATCTCCACTCCTCCTACCACTTCAAGCCTGAGCTCCAAGAAAGTAAAAGCCATTGCAAGAGTAAGCGAATTGGGCTCTGATGGCCAGCTACCTGCACACATACTCTACCTTATTGAGCTAGGCTTGGATATGGACCAGATCAAAAAAATGGCTCGCAAGTTTCCAGCTTTTGCTTACTACAGCTTAGATGGCAAGATCAAACCTGTGGTTGAACTCTTCCTAGACCTTGGAATTCCTCGGTCTGAAATTCCAGGCATCCTCTTTAGAAGGCCTCAATTATGCGGTATCAGCCTCTCTGAGAACCTAAAACCCACCATGACATACCTTGAGAGCTTGGGTGTTGATAAGGAAAAATGGGCAAAGGTGATATACAGATTCCCGGCTGTGCTTACGTATAGTAGACAGAAAGTGAAGATCTCTGTAGATTTCTTCTCTGAACTGGGCCTTTCTGCTGAGAGTATCGGAAAGGTGTTGACGAGGTGCCCTCATATTATTAGCTACAGTGTGGAGGATAAACTTAAACCCACTGCTGCGTACTTCAGATCGTTGGGTGTTGATGTTGCATTGTTGCTGCATCGGTCTCCTCAAACTTTTGGGTTGAGTATCGAGGCCAACTTGAAGCCTGTAACTCAGTTTTTTCTTGATAGGGGTTTCAATATTGAGGAGGTTGGGACCATGATTTCAAGATATGGGGCTTTGTATACGTTTAGCCTGGCAGATAACCTGATACCCAAGTGGGAATTCTTTCAAAGTATAGATTATCCAAGGTCTGAGCTCGTGAAGTTTCCTCAGTACTTTGGGTACAGTTTAGAGGAGAGGATAAAGCCAAGGTTCGAGCGAGTGAGGGATCTTGGTGTGGAGGTGTTGCTGAATCAGGTGCTGTCTACTTCTGATGCTGAGCTTGAAAAAGTTCTCGAGAAGAAGGCGAAGAAGATGACCGAAGGAGTTCTTCCTCCCACCCTGACTGATTTTGATGCTTTGCAAGTCGAATCAGAGATGAAGGATCTCAAATTATAAGCACAGGTGACCCTTAATTGCTTTTGGATTTTTTATATTTATTGGGATTGTAATGCAGTGTTGCAGACCCAAGGAATGTCTGGGATGTCATCCAACCCCCTCAAGTTGAGCTTTATTTGAAACTGTGATGGACAGAATGAAAAAGAATAAGGACATGCATTTTTCAGGGGGAAAGAAGTACCTTCCCCAAAATATGGCCGAGTGTTAATTTGATAGTTTGCCTAACATCCGTGTTTAGATAAGAGTAAATTATTTATTTGTGGAACGACATGGTCATTTAAGTTCATATCAGGCAAAATGTGATCCTTCTTTCTTTGCCATTTCATAAGCCAAAGTACAACAAAGGTCACTGCCCTGAATAAATGAAAGGTTTCATTGTGGAAAAATGATCCTAGATAAAAAATTGTAGATGCAATAGGATTGGTGATGAGCAGAGATTGCCGCAGTCCTCACACAAACCGGGTGTCACATAATTGGATGTCAATAAACATGGAGGTCGCTCACTTGCAGGCATGAGAAGAGATCAGCAAATGAAATGACCTATCTTCGAAAGAACTGATACCAGTGTTGGTGCATCTTGGGGAGTTCTCTTTCAGTTCTGATATGCAGCTTTCGGCCATGGCCATAACGTGGAGGAGACTTCAGGATCCATATCCCTAAATTCCAAAATTCACCAAATTTTTAGCTTGGATATAGGATGTAAATTATAATGGATGCAGTTCATAACATGCCAATGTTGTTTGTTTATATATGTCTTGAAGTTGTTCTGATGTAAATGTAACTTATGCGGTGTCACCCTCGTATTAGTTCATATGGAATGGGCATGATTTTGAGTGTTTTCAGATTCACATATTTGTTTTGTTTTGTATTTTCAGGTGTGTGTGAGGCCTCATGTGGAACACTTGGAGGCCCTCGTCTTCTTATATGTAGAGGGAGTACAAGGGCCCATGAGAGCAAGAGAGCCCATTAGAGAGGCCTTAGATAGGGCTTAACCTGTTTTTTTTTTTGTTAAGGGAGCTGGTAGGCACTAGGGAGTCCCCAGACCGGCCTAAGTGCCCGCGATTTGCATGCCTGCCTAGGCAGATTGGCTACTACGCCACCCAAGTGGCCTGGCCGCCCATTTTTCAACCTTGGTGTTACTACATACAAACTGACGTAGGATAGTACAAGGGAGATATATTTTCGGATCAACTAAGTTAACAATTCAAAAAAAAAAAAAGGGCAAAAGAAGAAAGAGGGAGAAAAAGAAGAAAGAGGGAGAAAAAGAAGAAAGAGGAGGAAATAGCTGCAGGAGGATATTGCTTTGCTAGGAGTATTGTGATGAATTAATAATGGGTGTGGTTTGCATAAGGTTGCAGCCTTAAACAATCAAAGTACGGTGTACCTTCAAATTTTGTCATGAAAATCAATTTTAGCGTCTAAAATTTTTAGGATGTTACTAGACTTTATTTTTATCTCTAGTTATAAAATGTTAAACAAAAAAAATGGTTCAACTGACGAAGATTGATAAACGCATTAAAATTTTGAAAATGGACAATCCAGATAATGTGTTGCAAGATGTATTATTTGTAAGACCTAAAATGTCTTTTTTTCTTATATCTATACATCTTGATATCGAGATGATCAATTAGATGTTTTTAGACATCAAAACAAAAATGTTTCAAAGGATTTTAGGGATGCACCTTAATTTTACATATTCAAGTCAACCTCGTATAATTTTTTTCCTTTGAATTGTCCCATTCAATTTTTCACTATAGATCTGTTTCTTGATTCCAGGACAATCCCAAGGATATGTTTTATAATATTATGATTATTAGACAGTGGTAGAGGAGGAAGTCTGCTTTCTCCATTCGATCAGAGGAAATGTGGGACTGACAATGCAAGTTGATAAATTGTATGATACTCTCATTATTTTCTTTAAAGGGTCTGGTTTCTATAAGGTTGCAACCTTAAGTGCACATCCAAATTTGATCATAACACGTAATTTTGGTGTAAAACTGTCACACCCCAAGAATTTACAGTACTGTTATTCCTGAGATGTGACAGACAAAACATATTTATATCTATTAATAGGACAAATTTACAGTGGCGAGGTCTTACAAAGTAAATAAAGAAAGCTAGTACAACAACAGTATCTTCCAAGGTTGATCTTGACTATCACTCAAAATGAATCCGCAGTTATCCTGAAAAAATGTTTACCATAGTTTGATGAGTTTGGCTACTCAGTAAGTGATCATCATAATCCTAAAAATAATCATGATTGAAAGAAATCAATATTTTCCAAAATGAGATCTATTAAC